TTTTCCTGCTGTAATGTCTGTGCCAGGGTCACCCAGATATTTTGACGTGGCTCAGGGACGATCCATGCAGCTGCCCGATTGTTCAGCATTAGCAGGATGGCAACTTGGATGAGGTTCATCACAGGGTTGAGTGGGAGGCAGGTTTTCTCTAAAAGGGAAAAACAAACATTTTAAGAACATATTAAAGTTTCTGTTTCTGCCGGAAGGAATTCACGCTTGGGAACATTTTTCTTCTTCTATCTGGGGGCGTCTTCTCTTTGCAGCATCTGCTACTTGCTTTTGTCTGTTTGTCTGACTTGGATTTCTGGGGACAAAAGGTTTCACCCACTTCTGGGGAATCCACTGAAGGCCTGAGGGAGTAGCTACACACGCATAGCCATGACCCCGGGTTACAAGTTCATAGGGACCCTTGGTTTCCCAAGTTTCTGGATCCCTAATCAAGACCAGGGGATGCTGAGACAATTTGAACTGCTTGCCACTGCTAAAGTGATGTACAACAGGTGGACTCATGTTTTCAAATGAGCAGTTCAGAAAATTGATGGTAAACATGGCTTTACAGAGTCTCTCTCGTGGAGACATCCATGGAGCTGAACTGTTTTGTTTTTTCAATACCTGTTTGAGCGTCTGGTATGCACGCTCGACTACAGCTTGACCTGTGGGGGAGTGGGTGATGCCAGTTTTATGTTCCACTCCCCACTGTTAGAGAAATTTCAGAAACTCCTTAGATATATATGCTGGGCCATTATCTGTTTTGATTGTTTTTGGAACCCCCAATACTGAAAATGCTTGCACTAGGTGTTGTTTGACATGTGCAGCCCTTTGTCCTATATGAGCAGAGGCATACACTGCACCTGAGAATGTGTCCACGCTTACATGAACGCATTCAAGGCGACCAAAATTCTGAATGTGTGTGATGTCTGTCTGCCATACCTCACAGCTGCTAAGGCCTCTGGGGTTTACCCCCATGCCCAACGATGGCACGGCCTGGAGCTGGCAATTAGGACAGTTGGTCACAATGGCTCGAGCCTGACTCCGTGTTATCTGGAACTGTTGAATCAAACCTGGCACATTCTGATGGTAGTGCTGGTGGCTCAGCTTTGCCTATTGGAAGACATTGGGGAGATGTGCTTTTTTGACTGGAGTAGCAAGGGACTCTGCTTTGTGATTCCCCTCTGCAATCTCACCTGGCAACTCAGTGTGTGACCTCACATGCATCACAAAGAATGGATGCTCTCAGTGAGAGATTAAATAAATCAGCCTTGAGAGCAACCTGAAGAGATGTTCATTTTCTATTTCTTTGAGTACGGCCTGCTCCGCCCTGGACACTACTCCTGCTATATAAGCAGAGTCTGTCACCAATCTGATTGGCTCAGAAAACTTCTCAAAAGCTCTCACCACTGCAGCCAGTTCAGCCACCTGGGGGGATCCCTCCACGCTGAAGGACTTAAAATTTTTTCCTGCATTTTTTTTCCTGCAAAAAGCAAGATTCAGACTGCTTGATACCAACATTTCCTCTAAATCTATTTTCATAAATTAGATGATAAACTCTTCAGTTCAAGTTACTGAATTTATGTCAGCATGTCACACTTTACATGTCAGAATCTCAGCCATGAGTCCACAGAGATTTTAATCCCCTCTTTGAAAGTTTTTCCATATTGTACAAAACAAAAAAATAATTGAAGACAATTAGTCTAAAGAATACCCACAAAAATCTGTGGATTAATTTTTCACCTTTTTTTAATTCAACCAAATTATCTATTTCAATAGGTACATTTCAATACATACTAGATTTTTTACTTGAAATTAATCATTAATAGCTTTGGACAAGAAAGCAAATTTGACTGCCAGTAGATTTCACATTAATACTTCTTTGGAAAAGAAGGGATATAAAAATGAAATTTATCCAGTCCAATTATATCAAATTGAATATTGATCTGTCAGTCATAGGCAGACAATCCAAGTAATGAATCTAGCCAGGAAATTTCCTAACTTTCATGCTTATATTCTTTTCAGAACTATTGTAAAGATCTGGGTCTAGGTCATAGCAAGTGTACTTCTCATGAACATTTCTTAACAGCTGACTATGCATATTATTTAAAAGTGGTACATTTTTATCTGCAAAGTATATTTCAAGATTTCTGAAGGCAGCTGAATTTCAGGGAAGCAATCTTTTAATGAACTTACTGCTCAAAAGCTGCATGTCTCATTACCCATAATTATTCCTCAAAGTCCAAAACTTGATGATAAAGCTGTGTCATTCCAAATTTCCAACAGTTCAGGATTTAAATAGAAACATTTACAGGCTTATATTCCTGGCAAATATGAGTAACTATCAGATACAATACGGGCACAATTTCCCACAAACCATATTATATGTTTAAAGTGAGCTGCTCACTCTGTAACAGGCCATCTACAAAGAAGAAAATTTTTAAAGAATCTCTTTTTATACATATTCTATTTTATTCTACATTTTTGCAAGCGTCTTACTTCTACTGGTACTTCTGCATTTCCAAACTTCTAGGTTTCTTTGTCAGTAACAGAAATTGCTTGAAATAAGAGCATATCTGTTTACATGCCAATCCTTTAAGATTAAATTAACACAACCCACTTGATGTTACAGCTGGAAGTCTGACAGATACTTTGTGTTATTTGCAGGAAGTACTTAAAGCCTTCTAAAGCGCAGATGATTTTGAGACACCTAATCCTTTGTGCTCTACCTGGCACATTTTTTTCCTCAATACCACAGACAATTTTTTGTGTTAATTTTTTCCCCAAAGCCTTGAATAGGCTAAAAATTGCCTTTCTGTACAATGTCCTCTCCTCACACACTACATGACACCTGCTGCATTCAGCTGGGAGGCTGCTGCCATCTATTTGTATCTCCAAATGGCAAAGCTGAATGGCACTAGGGCATGTGCTGAAAGAGCAGAACTAAACAGGAAATTATTTTTACAGTCACAAAAGAGCCTAAGATTGCAAAATTCACAATTTGGCAATATAAAATGAGGGTGAATGCAATATTTGAAAGAACAAGAGTAGCTATGAAGGAAACATTTTCATTATCTGTTTCTATACAGCTGTATGCAGATTCTTGTTTCAAAACCTACACACCAATTGCTATCAATTATTTAAATATATAGCACATCCAAATTTATGAGATTTTTAAAAGCAATATTTAGTCAATGTTTGGAGGCAGGACCTAAATAACATAATATCTTCTCAAAATCAAATAATTTAAATTCAGTCAAATTTCCAAAAAACTGAGAGAAGTGGTTACTTTCAAGGAACTAATAAACATGGTATAAAAATTTAATAGAAAGCCATTAGATAGGTATAGCTTTTGGTTCCTCTTCCACAGAGTAGCTGATATTTAGTGCCAAAAGGAAGATTCCTTTCAAAGTATATTTTCTAAAATTTGCTATAAATACAGTAAATACTAGAGAAGTCTACTGACCTACCTAAGCAAATCATTAACAGTCAGACAGTTTGAATATGTGTATTCAGTAGGAGAAAAGATTTTTTAATGAGTGCTCAATAGGATGAGACTGATTCGATTTACTAGAGTTTAAAGGCTCAATTGCAAAGCATCCAATGAAAACAGATGAGACTAGAAAGCAAGGCACTTTTGACTGTCAATAAAGGCAACTGAGAGCATGACCTAAATAACATGAGCAACTGAAAGAGACATTTCCTGTTGCTGTGGTTTGGGAATAATACTCCTCAATCCAGCACCGCAGTGAGACTCTCACAAACCAGCTTGCTCGCTCACCTCCTTCCCATTCCAGGACTGGATTTGGGGATTGGAGGCACAAAGGTGAAAGTTAGATAAGAACAATTTACTAGAAATAGCAATAAGGTAAGAAAATTAACAATAACAGCAACAATATTAATAACAAAAGGTGTAAGAAAAACTAATTATATGTCAAGTAAAACAGTACCAGACAATTTCAGTCACCATGCTCTTCCCTCTCAAACAGACCCAGAAACGAGAGAGTCTCCTCTTCCTGATCCAGGCAAGTGATGCAAGATGGGATCAAATAACATTATGGTTCATCCATGCCCCCTTCCTGACTACTGTAAAAAATTAATCCAAAACTAGGATACATTTATGACTTAAAAACCAATGTACACATTTTTCAGATTGACCATATATAGCTACAATCTCATAGACCAAAGAAATCAGGGATTCCTGTTTATATGACAGCTTTAAAGAGATCAAGTTTTCATACACATAGACTCAGAATAGTTTAGAAAAGCAAAATAATTGAACAAAGCAGATAAAGACAAGAAGCCTGGTTGGCAAGAGAACAAGGCATCATATGAATAAAATATTTTCAAGTGCAACATCCTTTGCAAAAATGAAGGAATGGAAAGAGAAACTGCATCCTGATTTAGGCAAATTGTGTGGAAGGAAAGGGATAAGGGGGAAAAGAAATATAATGCTGCTCAAATATTTCATATTTCTATTCAAAGACCAAATTTCAAAATAAATTCAGTTTAATACCAATAATCATTATTTAAAACATGTTTTATATTTTATTTGGAATTTTGAAATCAATCTGGGATTGATATTCATGGCACACAAAGCTTAAAAAAATGTTTTAGGAGTTTGAGGTTTTTTTCAATTTTATTAAGAATCTCAGTTCCAATATTGCATTTCCGTTTTCCTCCTCTTGCTGTTTATTTCTAAAGTAAGCAATAACAATAAGAACAAAGTTTCACAGTGTGTCAATAACCGACAGAACTTCCTTTCTGAAAAAGCAGCTAAAGTTACGGAAGTGTGCTATCAAACTAAGCACCACTAGCATGGAGTCAACCACTGCATTCAATGAAACACTATTTCTATATGCACACAGTCATTTTTGTCTGCATTTCTTTTCAGAGAATTTCACTGGTGCGTTTTTTGCTTTCTACAATAAGGTGCTTTACATATGAAGCCAAACCACACTCTCTTCCAATATGAAATCTGAATTGAGATGACAATCAAATGTTCCTCTTACCTTGTTTTGGAGGTCTCATATAATTTTGCTCTTCCTTTCCATTTCAGTCCTCAAAAACTTAATCTACAATTTTAAAGAAATGTTGAGTCCGAGTTGTTGAGATGTAATAGTAAACACTAATTATTTTTTGATGCTTTTAAACATTTTGGAAAAGAACCAACTTCCAAATCAAAATCTTTGCTTACACATCAAATTGGTACAGACCACAGTCAAGTATTTGATAAATCTTAGCATTCAGCATATTTACTAGAAAGCTTATAATAAAAAGAAGAAAATTGCTGTATGTAAATAGGCTTACTTTTGTTTTGTACTAGTAGACATAGTGTTTATTTTTCACAAGCTAGTTCAATGTTATCTTCAAAGAACTAATATTTAAAACAATATTAACTGATTTTCTAACAAATATATTTTTCCCCCTCTAAGAACATATCTATCAGAGCACGTTTCTAACACAGTTATTTTATTTGAATGCTACAGTGTTGGTCCTAATTAGATAAAGACCTTGCTTCTAGTCAGACCCACCTGTGGAATTATGTTATATATGAAAGCATTCAAATATGGTCTTTAGATCCTGCTTAAGTCAATGACTTGACTTGGAAAGCAGAAATTCCAGTCACAATGCTTGAGACTGAATTTAATCAAACACAGTTTAAAAAATTATTCTTACAAAAGAGTTTTTTCAGGACTGAGCTTTAATCACAGTTTATGGAATACAATGGGAGGAAGGAGGACAAAATTATAAACTAGGATTAAAAGAACACATTTCTGTTACTTTGAAGGAAGATGCTTTTGGATTGTTCAATTAGCAAAATCCCTATTTACCCTATGTCCCATGCTGTTGATACAAAACTCTACACATGGTCAAGGGAAACTACAGTTGTTTTGACATTGCAACAGAAAAACAAAACTCCTGTAAGAAAACAGATTCAGATTTTAGAGACATTGACCCAAAGGTTATTGGTTGGGATGTCATGTACATAAAAAAATGAACACTGAATCTACATGATATGACAGCTGTTCTTATAATCATGTCCCCACTCAAGTAGACATGTCAGTAACTTAAAAAACATCACTGAAATGACAGCACTCTCACCTGTATCAAAAGCAAAGTCACAGAATTGCTATCATCACTTAAGACAGAAATGTAGGTAGGGGGTCCATGAAAATAGTGCCACCTGACATACATAAGTAGAATTTCTTTTACAAACTCTTCCAAAGTTCTGTCTAAGTGCTTTGACTGTGGAAATACTGATTTCACATCCACCTACTGGAAGAGAATGATGCTTTATTCAGCACATGCCTAGTAATGACATCCACAAATACGGAAATTTAGAACATGTATAGATAATAAATATGAAGATTTTGCACAACAAAAAGTAAAGGTCATAATCAAAATATTAGATCAAGATGAATGGGGAGAAGCACAATACAGCTATTTATTGTGGTCACTTTGTTTTTTCAGCTGTTCAAAGGAATTGACAGCTGAAATTAAATACTGAAAAAAATATACTGATCTCCATTAAAGAGTGCTCCCTTTCTCAGATCTATCTCTCAGGAATATTAATACTCCTTCAAGGCACTTCACTTCTACTTATGAATATATATGAAATAATTAAAGAGAAGTGATACCAAAATTATTATCTCTACATAGCTCGGATCTTTTAGGGAAGAGACATTTAAGACAGTCCAGTACTATAAATTTATCCAGTAATATATGTTAGTTAAATTTTGTTAATTATTATTTACATACACATGCATCTTATATCACTGATATGGACACCTTACATAGAGCAAGCATACCATTTTAGCTTAGCTGAAAAAAACCCAAAAATTAAAATTAACAAATTAAAAAATTAAGAATATTTTTACATTGCTTCATTTTTCAAAAATAATAGAAGAATTATTTAGGAACTGATTAATTTTTGCCTTTAAATTATAACAGTATTTTAAGGGTCTTCTACTAAATCTCTAACACATGAAGAACCACTTAGTCACAAAGTATAGGTATGGAGAGTTACATAGGAGGGATTTATATGACTTGTTTACTAGAGCCATTAAAGGGATAACTTTATCTATCCATTTAAGTGTACCCATATGTATAGCTTCATGTTCTAAGGCAGATCAGTCTGTATTGGACCATTTGCATGATGCTTTCACTAAGTCTCAAGGACAGACAATTTTCCACAAGAGATGTAAAAATAATCCTTTCAGTCATCAAATCCTGAGAGTACAATAAGCAAGAATTGACGTTTATACCCAGCTCTAAATTACCAGTGAAAAACCAATACTCACCTCTTTCCACATGTTGTTTGTCTTTTATTGCTCTCTCGCTGCAATTATGACAGTACATAATGAAAATATATTGTCTTAAGGCTGAACTTTTCAGTACTAAGCAAGGACACTGCTTTCATACCCTGGAGAGAGTCATCCAAGATACTCAGAGTTTTGTGTGTTTCAGAGCTCATTATGTTTATTAAAGACAACAGTTTCCATCCAGTGGCCTTTACTCACAGCAGTTGGTGACCTTGGAATCTTTAAATTAAATTTTCCCCCATCAAAATAGAGAATGCTTTAGCAGATGATAGTGACCCAATTCTAAGAGTCAGGCAATCGTAGTTATCCCTGACAGGATGGCAAAATCCCAATATAACATAATTACTGCACAGCTAGGGCTCAGCTGCAATGATATTTGCTTACCTCCAAACTCCTTGGATCTTGCTGAGGACTAAAATGAGCAGTTAAGGTTTGACTGAAATTCATTCATTAACACGTGACTATTTTGGCCATATCTGGGAACCCTAACATACTCAGTGTTCATTTTCCTTGTCTACTTTTCAAGATAGAGTGTAAAAATTGACTTCAAAATATAGTGTAAAAATTTACTTCAGAGGAAACTGTCTAGGGTATTATGTAAAACATAGAAAATATTCTTTCCTTTGGGCAAAAAGTGTTCTACAGAGTGCTAAATACTTCGAAAAGCAAAGCTAAATAGATTTCACCTATTAGTCTTTCTAAGAAGAATGTAACTTTTAAGCTGCAAGTTATAGATTGATTAGTAAATGAAACTTCCATCAAAGGAACATTTAAGACTTTATGAATAGTCATAAAAGCTTTTACTAGAACAAACAAATATTTTTTAAGGGAAAAGAACTTCAGAACTTTTTATTAAAATCTTCAAGTATGGGGATAATACTGAATCAAATTCCCCACATTCTGTTAACCTTTTATTGCATAACCCTTTATTTACATAACCTTTTATTACTAGAAAACCTTTTATTTGTATAAAATAAAAGAAAACCTTTTATTTGCATAAACTTTTATTACTAGAAAAAACCTACTGATTTAAAAATACCCGTATTGTTTATGGTTCCTTTAAATAAGTAATATATAGTGTAACTTAATTCTTATTTCTCATAATGAACACTGAAATAAAAAGGAAATTACACAGAAAAATTTTCTCCTTTATTTTGACAGACAGTACTCTAACTGAACTGCCAAATAATCCATTAGCATATCTTCTTTAAAATTGCTAGCATGAGATAAAATACCAACAGAATAAAATAGAAAAGGTAGATTAAACTCTATTTAGCCAAACTATTTTTGAGTATTTCCATATTTCTTTTTCTCCCTCATCCAGAACCAGCCAGCTCTTTATATAAACTTTATCTGCAGTTAATGGGAAATAAGTTTTCAAACTTGCTAAAAATGTAACTATTTCTTAACATGCAAACATTAGCATGAAGCACAGCCAAGCAAAGAGTAGGTCTCCCAAAAGCTCTAAAAGCCTTTTAACCTAATGAAGACATATGGAATCAATACTTACTCTATTTATTCAAATTCATTGAAAAACCTCAAACAATCAAAACAAGACACTTTCAAGTTACATGTGCCACTTGCTCTGTGCCTTTTTGTTAACAAAAGTGAAAATCAGTCCATGATCTCCAACTCTGCTTCTGGAAGAAGTGGCTCCACTTCACATTTAGAGATAATAGCTTGACTTTATTAATATTTTTTAAGTATTTTTCACTGCATGACAACTTAATACAATTAGGTATTTGCTGCTAAATACAGAACAAAGAACTTTTTCAACCTTCAATGATTGTTAAAGAGGACATCAGGATATATAAAATCTTACATATTTTATATGCATATTGTACACCTAAACCCAGTATGGTCCTTCTGAAATGTTTTTAGATATAAAAAAATCTACAGTTCTAGTGTGAGACCATCTGTAGAGAAGCTCCTTCGTAACCAAAGTCTTTCTGGAAGACTGTATTTGACCTTGAAGTTTTCAATGTAGAACAAATCTAAGATTTAAACCATCCTTACAATTTTTCTAGCGTTTCTCTGCACATTTTATTATCCCAGACACAACTGTTGAAACAATAGGCATAAATGTATCTGAGATCTGGCATAAGTTTTCTAGAAAAGGCCTGTCCCAAGACAAACTGCTGCTGCTCTTTGTTAGTGCTAGAGATGCAAGAAACAACCCAGAAAGACAACGCTCACTGCTGTTAAGATCCCTCAGTGTGATCACTGCTCTGGAGTACAGGAATGCCTTTCCATGTCCTTTTATGTTCCACATGCCTCAGCTGCTGCTTCCATCCTCAGGAGGTCGTTTCCTACCCAGAAGCAGCTGCACCAGCTGCCCTCTTCCTGTCTCTCTGCCTGTCCCTCTGCCTGTCCCCACCATCACTTGAGCAGCTGCTCCAAACAGCAACCTTTTTGCTGCCTGCAGTTCTTGATTTGTCTAGTCCTAAAGGGTGAAAAGAATGGATATGCAATTGTGAGAACCCTGGGCTTGGTCTGGGGTCTCGTGTGGTGGTAGAGTCTCTCCTCCAACCTGTGCTTCCAAAGAAAAACTCCGCAGTCTCTTGTTGTTCGGTCTCAAGGCAGTTTATTGCTAGTTATCTAACAGATTGTGTTCTCGGGCTGCAGCTGTTTGATCAGCGGCCCAGGCAGAGACACGCACACACTCCTGACACCCTCACTGTCTGGTGTCTTCTTCTTCTCTCTCCCCGCCCAGGGCTGCTGCTATCTTTTATATGTTATATTACGTATTACATATTTACAGTTATTCCCCAATACCTACTACCTATATTACCAAGTGCTTTTCTACTCTAAACCAATCTGTGAGTGCCAAGATCACCAAGAACATGGAGGTAAGGAAGAAGAAGGAGGAAGAACAGGATCAGCCCAATTTCCTCCATCTTAGAACTTCTGACCCCCATGTACAAAGTAAAAACCCCCCTGTACAAGTGTTAAAACCCCCCTGTACAATACTAAAAAAAATTCCCCTCTACTTTGTAATTACTTTTACTATGCTATCTAACCCTTTGTGACTACTTGTTCCACCTTCAAAGTTGGTAATTCATTCCATGGCTCAAACTCAAAATCACAGCTGTTTCCAGCTGCCTGCCGTGGTCTAGAATGCATCTGACCAAGGCCTGAAACCTCTAAAAATGTCTGAGAGACATTTTAAGTTCCCACATGCAAACATAACAACATTGATACCTCTGCTTCTGATGAACCATTCATGCAATACTAGTGAAAAGCCTTGCCACACATTGCACCAGAAGGTATGAATGTAAAGTCTATGAATGTAAAGACTCCCTTTTTCTTCTGTTTTGGTCAGAGTCCTTGAGTAATTTCCCAGTTATTTTTTATTTAATTTGACTTAATTCCTGTGAATGCTTACTTACACTTTTACATTGGCCTAATAAAGAGCACCTTCAGGCAGGTGTTACATGTTGAATTACATACATGCAATAAGCATTGTATTATGTCTCCTACGCAAATGCAGAAAAATGTATTTCCACTCTTCCCCCTCCCACCAGTGCTTCATAAGTCTTTGTGAAATGCAATTCTACTTTCATTTACTCTGAGGAAAATCAAGATTTCTTTCATCAAGTCCTTTAATATAAAATGTGCTTAAATTGGACTAGAAACAAGTTTCGCGATTAATTAAGTTAGAATTAAATTCAAGCTCTCATTCTCTCACTAGTCTTGCATTAAAGTACTTAGACCTTCTTTCATAGATTTCACATTGTTTTCAGAAAAATGTGGAACACGTAGAGAAACCAGGTATAAAATAACCTTGTGTGTCAGTAATAATATCTATCTCCATTTCTATTGCAATATTCATCTGAAGATCCTGAGGTACTTTTTGAATATTCATTCAGTCTCACTGTACTGCTGAGCTTCACTATGTACATTGTTCTCCAAGGAATAAAGAAGTGAATCACAAACCAAGGACACAGTTCTGATTTCCTTAGAATTATTAGCAAGTTTAATACACTATTAGTGTCGAGTATTGGAATACAGCTCAAGAATTCAGATTCTTTAAGCATCTGGCACCCCTCCAAGCTCCCAGAAGAGCTTTCCCTGATTTCTACACTAGGTGGTATTTTGCTACCAGTTAATGGCAGATATTGTTTTATGTAGAACAAATCTTGTGCTTTTCGAAGTGCTAGACTGGGACTGAATGTACACAAGGCACTGTTGCTCAAACAAGAAAAGCAATAACACCAACAAATCCATTCACTGTATTTGAGATTTATGCAATCCACACCTGAATTAGTCTTGAGAATCAAAATCTAATGTTGCCCTGATTCTTAAGATTTTCTAAAGCCTTCTGAGTTTACATTCTGTTAAAAAACTTTCCCACACATTTTCTATAAACAACATATTGTTTTGCATTCTTTCGTGGGGGTGGAGAAAGTTGATGTACTGGTTTGTCCAGTGTCTTTGGAGAGGTGGCCCATTCACTCTCCAATCCACTGTCACCTTTGGAAAAGTATAAAAGTTGGAGACAGAAAATAAACCATCTTCTTTTTTACCTTTTCATCGCAGTGGCTCGTGTTGTGCTTTCTCGTGTCCTATAGTGACAATCTAATAAAAAGATTCAATAATTAAATGTTTTCCACCCTCCATTTGTAGGACTAGAATTCATTGTGCTGATGAAGTCAAGAGGAATGCATTCAATACACCTGAAAATTGTGAACTTTAACTAGTATGTCCTGACTACTTATCAGAGACTACTAGATACTGATTTTTTCCTTATTTCAGAGCTATATTGAAGGAAGTGATTCTTTCCCCCTGCTCTGCTCTTGTGAATCCCCACCTGGAGTACTATGCACAGTTCTGGTGTCCCCAGTGTAAAAATGACACGGAACTGTCAGGGCCAGTTCAGAGGAGGACAGCAAAGCTGTTAAGATCACTGGAGCACATCCCCTGTGAAGACAGACTGAAAGAGTTGGAACTGTTCAGCCTGGAGAAAAGGTTACATGGATATCTCAGAGCAA